GCACTTGTTGAGGCGGCAAACTTGTGCCGATGTTGTGTAAGTGGTGTTGTTGCTGATGTCTTGGTGGTGTTGTTGCTGATGTCTTGGTGGTGTTGTTGTTGTGTAAGTGGTGTTGCTGCTGATGTCTTGGTGGTGTTGTTGTTGTGTAAGTGGTGTTGCTGCTGATGTCTTGGTGGTGTTGCTGCTGATGTCTTGGTGGTGTTGTTGTTGTGTAAGTGGTGTTGCTGCTGATGTCTTGGTGGTGTTGTTGCTGATGTCTTGGTGGTGTTGCTGCTGATGTCTTGGTGGTGTCGCTGTTGTGTAAGTAGTGTTGCTGCTGATGTCTTGGTGGTGTTGTTGTTGTGTAAGTAGTGTTGCTGCTGTTGTCTTGGTGGTGTTGCTGCTGATGTCTTGGTGGTGTCGCTGTTGTGTAAGTGGTCTTGCTGTTCCTGTGTTGGTGATGATGCCGCTGCTGTTGTGTTGGAGGTGCTGTTCTGGTGGTGTTTCTGTTGTTGTATTTTTTGTGTTGCAGCTGTTTTGTTTATTGGTGATGCTGTTTTGTGCTGGTGGTGTTGCTGTTGCTACTGATGCTTTCCTAGCCTATTTACATCTAAAAATGTAAGCCAGTGCAATTTTTTGTCCACCAAATACCAAGAAAATATGTAGCGGAAACCTCAATAAACAAAGCATATATAATTCACATATCCTTGGTTTGTTATAGAAAACAGTGAAAAATGGCAAAATAAAGTTAAATAAAAAAATCATGAAAAACTATCGAAAACTCCCAAATATGTATCGATATAGGATCCAGCTCCAAAAATCACATCGAACTAGATGATCGAAGACTATAAAAAGATATATATAGATGTATATATATAAGCAAATTGGAAGTCTCTACCAGGCGACCGTCTTGTGGGATCTGATCCTCTTTGTCCATGGAGGTAAGTCTGTCTAAATCCTCCCTCGGTGTGTTGCCTGTAGGATAAGGGAAGGTAAGCATCTCGTCCACACTAGGATTTATTCCCTCTATATTCCCCCTCTCTCCCTCCATCCATATCTTATTCTCGTCCTCTCTCCTTCTCTCCCCTTCTCTCCCCTCCTTTCCTTCATTCTTCAACCACCTTCGGTCAATCCATCACCACTCCCTCCCTCCCTCTCCCTTCTTCCTCTCCTCCATCTAGACGGGTTCATTCCCTTTAGCTTGGACAGGCCTGAAACTTTCACTAGGAAAATTTCCCAGCGGTTGCTAGGATTTATCCGTTGCTAGGATTTATCCGTTGCTAGGATTTATGCCGTTGCTAGGATTTATGCCGTTGCTAGGATTTATCCGTTGCTAGGATTTATGCCGTTGCTAGGATTTATGCCGTTGCTAGGATTTATTCCGTTGCTAGGATTTATTCCGTTGCTAGGATTTATTCCGTTGCTAGGATTTATTCCGTTGCTAGGATTTATGCCGTAGCTTAGGTTGTGTGTTTCTTTGCCAGTGTTTGTTACTTTTATTTAATTTGCTGTCTCTTGGCCAGGATTTCATTCTTGGCTAAGATTACTATACCTCAGGCGAGGATTAACTCGAGAGAGATTACTTGTTTAGAATAGTTCCTGGGAGAGGATTTTGAATCTACGATAATTTCTACACCAGAAGTATTAATGGTATTTTTGTGGATAAAATCATTATTACTATTTGTAGCAGAAGTAGTAAAAGTAGTTGTAGTAGTCGTGGTAGCAGTCGTGGTAGCAGTAGTCGTGGTAGTAGTAGTCGTGGTAGCAGTAGTCGTGGTAGCAGTAGTCGTGGTAGCAGTAGTCGTGGTAGCAGTAGTCGTAGTAGCAGTAGTCGTGGTAGCAGTAGTCGTGGTAGCAGTAGTCGTGGTAGTAGTAGTCGTGGTAGCAGTAGTCGTAGTAGCAGTAGTTGTGGTAGCAGTAGTCGTGGTAGCAGTAGTAGTAGTAGCAGTAGTCGTGGTAGCAGTAGTCGTGGTAGCAGTAGTAGTAGTAGCAGTAGTCGTGGTAGCAGTAGTAGTAGTAGCAGTAGTCGTGGTAGCAGTAGTCGTAGTAGCAGTAGTTGTGGTAGCAGTAGTCGTGGTAGCAGTAGTCGTGGTAGTAGTAGTCGTGGTAGCAGTAGTCGTAGTAGCAGTAGTCGTAGTAGCAGTAGTCGTGGTAGCATTAGTCGTGGTAGCAGTAGTCATGGTAGCAGTAGTATCTATAGTGATTGAATTACTAGTCGTAGATAAAAAGTTATTATTTCCTACATATCATAACCACGACGTCTACCGCTGTCATCAGAAGAGATATATGCAAGACTGAATGAGAATAGAATACTCGCTTGGGAGAATAATGGAGACTATTTAGAAGTCGTTAAATAAATCCTACGTATATGTTATCCTGGAAATATGACTGTAGTCGAGGAATTGTATTGGTGTGTACTCACCCAGTGGTGCTTGAGGAGGTTGAGCTCTGGCTCTTTGGTCCCGCCTCTCAACTCTCAATCATCTGGTGTACAGGTTCCTGAGCCTACTGGGCTCTATCATATCTACATTTGAAACTGTGTATGGAGTCAGCCTCCACCACATCACTGCCTAGTGCATTCCATTTATTAACCTCTCAGACACCGAAGAAATTATTTCTAACGTCTCTGTGGCTCATTTGGGTACTCAGCTTCCACCTGTGTCCCCTTGTTCGTGTGCCACCCGTGTTAAATAATCATCCTTGTCTACCCTGTCAATTCCCTTGAGAATTTTGTATGTGGTGATCATGTCTCCCCGAGCACTTCTGTCTTCCAGCGACGTGAGGTGCAGTTCACTCAGCCTTTTCTCGTAACTCATGCCTCTTACTTCTGGGACTAGCCTAGCGGCATAACTCTGAACTTTTTCCATCTTCGTCTTGTGCTTGACAAGGTACGGGCTCTATGCTGGGGCTGCATACTCCAGGATTGATCTTACATATGTGGTATACAAAGTTCTGAAAGATTTCTTACACAGGTTCCTGAAGGCAGTTCTGATGTTAGCCAACTTTGCATACGCCACCGTGTGTGTGTGTGTATACTCACCTAATTGTACTCACATAATTGTGCTTGCGAGGGTTGAGTTTTGGCTCTTTGGTCCCGCCTCTGAACTGTCAATCAACTGGTTCTCAACTGTCAATCAACTGGTAGTCGACTCTGTGTGTGTGTGTGTGTGTGTGTGTGTGTGTGTGTGTGTGTGTGTGGTGTGTGTGTGTGTGTGTGTGTGTGTGCGCGCGCGCGCATTTTCTACTTTTCCAGTCTTGAAAATTTATCACTTGTTTTGCTTATTTATAGTACGCCAGACGTTCTTCCGCCAGACTTAAAGTGTTGTAGTTAGCGCAACTTTATAGTCTCGTTCTGACATAACGGTTGCGGTGCGCCCGGCGAACGTACTCCAGGGTGCGCCCGGCGAACGTACGCCAGACTTCCTAATGTTTTATGGTACCGTCACTCTGTAAATCTTGTGTCCACCCCACTAATAATCCAAGGTAAGTCCAGGGATCCCTTGGGCGTGACAGGCGGAGGGGAGAGGGGGATAGAGGAAAGGGGAGTGGGAGGAGGAGAAAGGGGGAAAGGGGAGAAGAAATAGGAGATGGGTGATATAAAAAAGAGGAGAGGGGAGCTAGAGGGGGCGGTAAGCATGGGAAGGAGAGACGAGGGATTGAGAAGAGGAGAAGAATAGGACACATGAGAAAGGGACATAAGAGAATGGATAGAGTGTGGGGAGGGAAAGGATACATTTACCTATTTTACCAATGCATGGAACGACAGAAAAAGAACAGGCAAAGAGAGAGAGAGAGAGAGAGAGAGAGAGAGAGAGAGAGAGAGAGAGAGAGAGAGAGAGAGAGAGAGAGAGAGAGAGAGTGTGTGTGAGAGAGAGAGAGAGAGTGAGAGAGAGAGAGAGAGAGAGAGAGAGAGAGAGAGAGAGAGAGAGAGAGAGAGAGAGAGAGAGAGAGAGAGAGAGAGAGAGAGTGAGAGACAGAGAAAGAGAGAGATTACGACAAAGGAAGAGAAAACACGACCGTCTTCGACTGACATAAGGCCAAACTTCGGGTGAAAGTGTACCCCTTAAGATCAAAGGGGGAACTAAGGGAAGTCTCGGGCAAGGGGAGTTGACGTAGCTTGAGAGGTGAGAGTTGAAAGGGAGAGAATTGAGGGAATGAGGTGGGATATGAGAATGGTGATTGGAGTGGGCAAGGAAAGAGGGGGCAAGACAATTAAATTGAGGGAGGATGGTGATGATGATGATGTAGAGACGGTTGACGGAGGGTGATGGAAGAGGTTGATGAGACGAGGGAAAGAGATTGACGAGGTGAGGAAATTGGGTTGAACGGATGAAGGAAGAGCGAGCTTGGGGATTATTAATGTAGGGGGGGGGGTGGGTTTAAGGGGGGTTTAAAGGGGGGTTAAGGGGGTTTTAAGGGGGAGATGACTGGGGGAGTGAGAGGAGAGGATTGATGGGGTAATGGAAGGAAGAGAAAAAGAAACGTAGAGAGAAAAATGGAAATAACTCGAGTCGAACAACTATTCAGAAGGTGAAGCAATACGAGTGACAAAGAACAAAGGAAATAAAGGGCCAAGGGGACTAGAAAAAACTGGAATAAATGAGGAATAGAGAACGACTGGGGAGAAGAGGAGAAATGAGGCCGCAAATCCCAGCCAAAAATCCCCAATCCGTAGAAGTAATGGTAGTGTGTTGCCACTCTTTTCAATTTTCTGCCCCATAAAACGGGAAGGAGGGATGAGGGAGGGAAGGAAGGAATGGAGGCGAGGAAGGGAAAGAAGGGAGTAAGGGAGGGAGTGAAAGATGGAGAGTGGGAGAGGAAGGTGTAAGAAAACAATAGATAGGGGATGGATGGAAGGGAGGAATGTCTGGGAGAAAGATGTGACCGAGGAAGGGAGGTAGGGAGGGAGGGAAGGAGGGAGAAGTTATGAGAAAGCGCAGGGAGAGAGAGAGATGTACTAAGAGAACAAACCAGCGAGACAAGAAAGAGAAGAGAAAGAGAGGGAAGGTATAATAAGACAAGAGACACAGAGCAAAGGGAAACACAGACAGCAGAAGGCCTAGAGACTCAAGACTTGGTTATCAGCTGGGGGAGCAGAGAGCCAGTCAACACTACTCTCTACATCAACAACACAATCAACACTACTCACCATCTTCTGGGTCGAAACCTGACTATGAATCATAGACAGGATTCATCAAGCACTTAAGTGCTCACTTACGAAACCTGTACATCCCTCCTCAATAACGGCGGCTTAAGTTGCATTTCTTAACAGTTTACGAGGTCACATGCACTATACGAGGTTGTCTATAACAACAATAACCTTGGGTGCGACCTCGCAGCATTTCCCTCCTCGTAAACTGTTTCTTAAACGTAAACAATGATTATAAGCAAAGTAAACAAACAAAGCCGCCATGAACAAATCCACAAGGGCCGTGACGAGGGTTCGAACCTACGTCCGAGAGGATCCCAGACGCGGCCTTAATCGACTGAGCTACGACATGGTTAAAAGAATTACAACCAGGAAATCATCCTGATTTACCAACGGATCCACAACCACCACAACACCACCACAACACCAACACAACACCAACACAACACCACCACAACACCACCACAACACCACCACAACACCACCACAACACCAACACAACACCACCACAACACCACCACAACACCACCACAACACCAACACAACACCAACACAACACCAACACAACACCACCACAGCATCAACACACCATCGCTTGGGTCCATTAACAGTGAAGTGGGTCCATAATGGGGGTCAGCAATAGGCATAAGACCCTTCAAGATATCAGGGAATGGGGAAGGGAGGAGGGGGGGGGGAGGGGAGAGTGGCAGATGAGGGTGGAGAGGAGAAACGATAGGGAGTTGGGGGGTCACCATTAACAGTGAATACCAGTGGTAGTGTCAAGTGTTGTGTCGAGAGGAGACGGAAATAAGAGAGTGAGGGAAGGAAGAAGTGAGTGAGAGTGAGAGAGAGTGAGAGTGAGAGTGAGAGTGAGAGTGAGAGTGAGAGAGAGAGAGAGAGAGAGAGAGAGAGAGAGAGAGAGAGAGAGAGAGAGAGAGAGAGAGAGAGAGAGAACCTAACCGTGATGCAATGCAACACAGCCGTCTGTAAAATACTACTGTCCTCTCATCCCTTCTAGTTACGGAGCATTTAACATTACCAAGTTGGTGCACAATTAAATTTCTTTCTTTATTATGCACCCCATACCCATCCGTGGGCGGTGGTGGAAAGGGTTAGAAGGCCACGATAATGAAAGAAACTACAGAAGACCAATCGGCCCATACGAGCCAGTGCCTATTCACACAAACTTACCAATGTCTAAACTACGCTTCAAACAATCTTGGGACTCGTGACTCATGATAAATTTACAGAAACTTTGCAGCTCTGTAACAGATTTTATGTAACAGACACGAAAATTGAATCAACACAAATATTAATTACAAAATTATCATTAAATAAGATCGCATAACGCGCGAACATAAGAGTCCGCATTAGTCTGCGAGAACGCGAATTCATCCACTCAGCGCCCGAGTGTCTGCGGGTGTATGTGTTGGGCTTAGCGTGATTGGTTTAGTGTGTGACTGAGTGGTTAAGTGTAGTGGTTGAGTGTGTAGTGTTGTGATTGGTGGGACTCACTCACCTAGTTGTATTGTGAGGGTTGAACCACGAAGCCTCCATCCCGCCTCTAAAGTCATTGATCGACTGGAGAGTGTGGGTTCCAGAGCCTCTTATGGGGCTTGGAAGAGCTCAACATGACTGCATGCTGTTGTTGTTGTGGCTGTATGTTGTAACTGTGATTTGTATGTTGTGACTATGTTGTAGCGGTGACTGTATGTTGTAGCGGTGACTGTATGTTGTAGCGGTGACTGTATGTTGTAGCGGTGACTATATGTTGTAGCGGTGACTGTATGTTGTAGCGGTGACTGTATGTTGTAGCGGTGACTGTATGTTGTAGCGGTGACTG